GCGGCTGGGGGGAGGGCTCCTCAGGCAGTCGCGAGTTCCAAGCTAGCCACGCTAGAGAGCGCCCTCACGGTCACGTCCGACCCGACACTCCAGCAGGCCCTCAGGAGCCAGATCTCAGTCCTCAAGGGAGAGCTCAACTTGCTAGGCTCGAGCTCCACCCCCGAGGAGGCCGTGAAGAAAGCTGACGGAGCTGTCAAGGACGCGCAGACCAAGCACGACCAGGCCTTCGCCTCTCTGCTGCGCGCCAGGGAGAACCTTTCTCGTGCTGAGCAGAAGGAGTAGGAGACCGCTATCCTCTTGGCTGCAGCTCAGGAGGCTGAGAAGTTGGCGGCCCAGGCGTTGGCGACCAAGGTAGGAGTGTTCGCGCCGTCACCGCCCAAGGCCGAGTCAGATCAGTTGTTCGACATCACTTGGGACGAGCAGTTTTTCGCTGGCGTGGACGACATGGATGCGGAGCCAGCGGAAAAAGAGGCCCTCAAGAAGCTCGAAGCCGACTTGAGGGCCACCAAGACCCAGCTCACGACCAAGAATACACAAGTGGTAGGATGGCTCGAGAGGGCCAAGGAGTTGCAGAAGCAGATCGAAGCCAGGCAGTCCAGGAAGCGTCGGTGCGTAGACGGCGACTCGGTCATCGGCGGCGCGGACGGCAACCAGGCCACTCAGGCGGCGGAGCCGTCTGACGGCGGCGCGGCGGGCGGCGCCAGCGGCGGCAGCAGCGGCGCCAGTGGCGGGCCCTCCATCAGCTCCGACGCCGACGACAAGTCCGACAAGTCGAAGCAGGAGGCTCGCATTAAGGAGGCAGCTAAGAAGATCACGGCGGCGAAGCAGGCAGCGGCGGACGCGGCGACCCTCGCCGTCAACACCCCTGTCTCCAAGTGACCTTTACGAGGGGCTCCTGCAGTCGGTGCCAATGCAGGAGGTTTTCCCCACCAAGGCCCACGGGGACCAGCCGACGGGTGCGAGCAGTCGGCGGCTGGTGGCGACTTGGCACGCTCATCGAGTATTTCGAGTCGAGAGGGGAGTCTCATCTCCCCGACTTACGGCTGCGGCCACCCTGGCGGCAGGCCCTCCCAGCGGGAGTCGGGAGCTTCGAGCCGCAGGGTAGGTCGCAGCACAAGCACGGGGAGTTCGCGCCCTCAGCGGCGGGCCCCCCTGGAGCCAATCCAGGGACCACTCGCCATGACGGACGATGAGCGCCTCACCATGTCCAAGAGTGGGTCAGACAGCTATTTCTTCTTCGCTAACGTCACGGCTATGGGCAAGCAAGCGTGGGACTTCATTTCTGGTCCAGCCTGCAAGCCCTTCCATTTCTTCGGCATCGCCGAGACGCACGTCGAGGGCAGCAAGGACGTGCAGTATTGGCGAGAGCAGGCTCACAATAATCATTTCAAACTCATTCTCAATCCCGCTCGAGCCTTAGGGCGGGGCAAGACGGCAGCGACTCAGGACAAGTCTAACGAGGGCGGGGAGTGGCTCATGTGCCGCCACCACCTGCAGATGCAGAGCCTGAGCGACACGGACGCTGTACTTCGTGAGTTGCGAGCGAATGGTTCCTCAGCGCTGGATGGGTTCAGCGCGGCCATTGTTCATATGCACGGGTACTCGTTGGTGGCCATCACTTTCTACGGCTTCTGCTCCGACGGCTTCGGGGGCAGGAACCTCGTGCGTCTGGCCAAGCTTGGCGCGCTTGTCTCACAGCTACGTTTGCCATGGTTCATAGTTGGAGATTTCAACCTCGAGCCCGAGGTGCTGGTGCAGCGAGGGTTCATCCAGAAGGTTGACGGGGTTATCTTCAAGCCGTTGGGGGCGTCAACGACCTGCCAGTCAGGTAAAGGCGCCATGCTCGACTACGTCATTGCTAGTCACTCGTGCGTCCCCTACCTCGTCAGCGTCACGCCCATCCTCTCAGTTCCATGGAAACCTCATAGTGCAGTGCTGATTCGGCTTCGCAGTTCGGGGACGCAACTCTTGTGCAGGGGGCTGGTCACGCCGGCTAGACTCCCACAAGTCCCACGTCCAGGAGTCGCACCTACCCCTGGGTCCAAGTCCAGTGTTGCCAAGGCTCAACGAGTCGCAGCCAAGCAGTCCCAGAAGTTGAGGTTCTCGGAGGCGTCGGAGGCTCTGTTCGGGGACCTCACTGCCGATCCTGAGCGGGCCGATTTTGAGCTGGACGACGGTCTGTCGGACGGCGATTCTGGCGATGACTTCGATTTAATCTCTTCCAGTTTTTTTGACGACGCGGCTGGCGCCGAGGTCTCCGCCCCCAGCAGAGCGAGTGCCACGGCGTCTCCAGCTGTCGCGTCCCTGTCTGAGCAGTGTCTGTCTGAAAAGGAGTTTCTTGGGACCGTAGGGCCCCCCCCCTCCGAGACCCCCCCCTCGGCAACCAATAGTCAGTCCGTTCTCCCCTCCTTCTCCATCTCGGCTGAGCTCTGGGAGACCTGCAAGGGCCACATGGGGTGCACGCACTCGGACGGTGGGCAGGAGGTCTGGCCAGTCGTTCGAGATTCAGTCGCGTACGCCGTAGGAGGTCCACATGTTAGTCGGCCTGGAGCTCTCTACTCTTCTTGGGCTTCTACGGTGGA